TCATCTTTGGTTCTGAAACGGAATCCAATTGAAAAGGATTAATAGAAGGTTGTAAAGATCCTTGAATTCCCCTCCGAGTGAACGGCAAGGACTCTCAATACTGCCTTATTGTTGAGGGTCAGAAAACGTACATGAAAAAAAACAGAATATTTGAATAGTATAACACACGTGGATTATTACAACGTTGCCAAATTTGCTTTGTTTACCCTAATTAAACATCAATAGAATATATTAAAAAAATAATATTCCCATTGGTGAATTGTGAGTTTGTTTGGTAATTTAATTGTGATTTGGTATGTATGTATTGGTAGCAATTAAATTAAATGTAATTTGACAACCCCGCTGTGGTACAGATTGGAAGGAGGGTCCGCGTGTATGACCCAGTTTAATAGATTAAATTGGCCGGCCTTGACATCTTAAAAAAATACGCTAGGGATATTTTTGAAAGGTCTTTCTCTCGCTTAGAGGTGGAATCTTTTACTCCCGGTTTTTTTATTCATTTATCAAGCCCAGGTGTTCCTTTTATTCGGATCGCATTTTAGAAAAGAAACAAAGACCATATACCGGTTTCGAAATATTAGTCAGCTGAATCCACCGCATAGGTCATAAAATGGCAAATAAATTCAATGAAAGGATGAAGTGATGATGTTAAACGCGATGTTTGTTTTTTATGAAGCGATAAAAGCTTATCAGTTCGTGCAAATTCGCCATCTAAAAATGGGTCAAGGCAGGTTACTGAAGCTAAAAAAAATCTACCAACTGAATTCACAAAATCATGGATACAAATTGATTACCGCCAAATTACTTAATGTAATGAATTAATCAATTAATTAACAACAAATCACTAATTCATGTAATTCCCTGCTAGAAGCCTGTCATCCGAATACCGTTATCGGACAAATGTAAACAAATATAAACAATGTCATCTTGTAAAATTCATTGTATTGAAATTAAATAATGGCTGCGCATACAATGAAACATCAAAAACAACTGTCAACTCGCATATTTACTCCTACGCCTCTTTCCATCTGGAATCGAAAAGTCCGCCCAAACGCCTCGCGACCGTCCGTGTAGGACTCGTAAACTTATTATATTAATGAAATAACTGTTGTTGGTCGATTTCGAAACGAGTTTGTAGTTGTACTATCGGAGGGTCACGACAAAGAGGAATATGTCGAATTATTAATTACATCGGAATAACTGAATAAGAACGAGACGACAGGAATGTAAAAAAAAGTCCGCGATTTAATTAAGACGGTTTGTTCGAAATTCGCTTATTTTATTTCTGTTTAATTCGTTTCAAGCAATACTACGAATTGCAATTTTAAAAGAGTAGGTTTTTCGCTATTATGAATTTTGAAACATTTTATCTAATCGAGTAATTGCGGTCTAAATACCCACCTACATTTATCCAGTTAATTTTTTATCAACCTCTCATAAACAATAAACAAAAACCGTGCAAACGCACGCCCATCGAATTCGAAATTAACTTTATCTATCCGACCATAAAATCGAACTAACGCAACGCAAATTTCAACCTTGGCCTTGGCGATGTTGCTATAATTAGGAGAAGCAGCTGTGACTTGTTTGGAAAATTATCTGTAAGTTAAATATCCAGCCTGATAAATTTTATTTGGGTTTCGTTAAGCTAGGCCCGAAGGAGCTAGGTAAAGAGTAATTGATATGAATTAAATAAAGTGTGCTAAAAGTTTAATTATAATTATATGGTTAATTGAAAAATTGCTCATTGAATTTTAGCGATAATTCGTTAAAATATATAAATTGGAGCGAATTGGAAAAAGCGGGAATCTACTTTTCGAATTTCATTAAAAACAATTTACCATCTTCAAGTATAATCCGTCGAAAAAAAGTCGATTAAAAATGTAATTAAATACGAAGAAGATTACTCAAGAAAAGCACACGGCGACAGATTTTCTAATTTCATTAAGGATCATTTCGCAGGGTCGGTTCTACAGGATGACAATTTTTCATTGTCAATGAAAACAATTATTATTGTATTTCACTAAATTCTTTTTTAATCACTCATTTTTAACACAAATATTTGATTATATTTTTCTAAAACCTGTACCTTTACATTTTAGTTGGTCTATTACATTTTTCTAAGTCAAATGTGAGCCTATTGCGGGCCTGCTAAGTAAAATGAAAAATTACCGAAGTAAGAAAATCGCGGCTTAAATAATTTAGCCCGGAAAAAGGGGTGAAAGATTACCAGCGCACATAAAATACCGGTAATTAAAAAACTTGGACCGATCGGAAAGACCATTAATTTCGGCTCCTCTTGAGCGGATAATGGAAAAAATTGTAACAGTCATCCTGGAACTGTCCCTTTTCGGAAATTTGCATTACTTTCTTCGGATACTCATCGATCATAAAAGGCTGATACTTTTTAACTTTGGTAATTTCATCATTTTCATCTATTACTACATTTTTTGCATGATGCATCAAGCTTCCTTTTTTTAAATTTGTACACTAATGTAACAATTCAATTGGACAGACAACAGATAAAAAAAAGGCTGTATCGTACCCCAACATTCATAATTCCTATTCTAGATAATCGGATTATTACGACTATAATCCGCACTACGGGATAACATAATTACCGACAGGCGTTTTTTTGCTCTCGCCTTCGTTCCAATCAGATTCTAATTTCGAAGCGGACCGGCTCCCATTGTGCTAAAGTTTATAAGACAAGACGCGACCTCGTCGCCATCGTAAATAGTGTAAAACGTGCGGCATTGTAGCCCTTTTTGCGCTTAAAAGATTACGCCAAGGTACCCCCTCTTATCTTATAATTATCGTGTTATCTTCAGTCACTCGTCACCCTTTCGCCAAGATTTTCTTTTCGGGCTTTTGTTGGAAGTCGTTAATTATCAACTCGACTTCATTCCGGCATTGTTCGAGGAGATGCAACTCGATTTCCTCCCGCGGGAGATGATCAAACGAGTGATTAGATGATTTTTTAAGTGTTTGGCGAGTTTATTAATTTTATTGTTGATTGATTGAATTTTATTAATTGTAGTCAAGTAGTCACAGATATGAAAAATATAAAATATCCGATCGACCTCCTTCGAGGCCTTATAGCAAATTGGTTTGTAACTAAAGGGTGTTTCAATAAGACCGCAAGATTTGAATTGCCTGTCATGTTTGACAGTCATAATGACACGTGATTATAACATGACAGATCGAAAGTTAGCAGTTGGGAGTTAGTAAATATGGAGCATTGAATCTGGATATGGAACATAATCGCGTCCTAATTGTTAAACATTGCTCCCGGTTGGGTCATTTCCCGGTTTGATGACCAGAATTGGCAGCCACGTTTTTGTGATATAGCACCTTTGGACTTCTGATTGTGGGGTTACTTGTAATTACAGGTTTATGCTAACAAGCGTTGAAAGCCGAAATTAGACGCTGTATCAATAAAATACCTCACATGTATACAATAATGCTATTGAAAATTTTATCAAAAGAGTACGCTTGTGCCAGCAACATCGTGATAAATTAATAAATATTTTCATATTTTGCTCCAGATAACATTGTTTTATTTAACCTTACAATCTTGCGCTCTTATTGAAACACCCTTTATAACTGCGTCGTGAGAGTAGTTGACAGTGTTAAAATTTTTGTTTGAATTTCGTTAATTGTAATTAAGAAAAATGGTGAGATTAACAGAAATGCATAAAATTATAGCTTTGGTGAGGAGATTCATATTATTTTACATTGTGAACAATTAGTGTTACATACATAGTCTATCGTATTACGGCCATCAGATGATTTTATTTTCATTTTCAAAAACTTGAAAACAATAACTTTCAAACTACATATCACAAGCCTATACTTCCCATTTAAAAAAATCGAGGTTGTGACTGTCCATCGAAGGGGGTTGATGATAGGGCTCACAATTTGACGTTCAGAAATGTCAAATTATAATTAAAGTTTGACGTGTTTTGGGATTTTCTATAAATATGTTCACTAACCGAAATAATGAATTTATTACATTTGACGTTTCCACCGTGTATGTGAACCTGGTGCCTGTTGAAATCAACATAATTAAATAAGTTTTTTTGGTAAAAAGAAGGAGGATTTGGTGTACCCCGGTATCATATGATATCCTCTCTAGAGAAATATACTTTGTGGTAAAATTTTGCTATAACTTACTTTGAAGTACATTTTACTTCATAGTACTTTTATCAGGAATAATATACTTTAAAGAAATTATACTATAAGTACATTCTACTTATATGTATTTCATCGACATTAAAACAAGTGTTTGAAACTTAAAAGTTTACTTACAAGTAACTTACGCCAAAGTATAAACTGAAGTATATTTTACGAATATAAAACTATTAAATATACTTCTAGGTATAAAAAACGTTATAGTATTATTTTGGAAACCAAATAAGTATTGCTTACTTTAGTTTTGCACCGTTTTTATACCAAAACGTCCCGTTAACTTTGAGTTGTACCATTCAAATATTAGTTTAGTTTCTGAAACGTTTTAAATTAGCATAAAGTAAATAAATCATAAAGGAATATTTGGAAGGTGAAAATACTTTTTAATTACTACAAGAATCAAACTTTTAAGTATCATTCACATATAAGTTAAAAATTTGGTATCATATACGTAATATTACCTAATTTTTAGTGCAAAAACCTTAGTGATCGTTTCTCATACTCATTTTGCTCATTGGGATCATATTGGTATGAGTATTGCGATGGTTAGTTGGATGCGATAGCGAGTAGAGTTGGCTCGACGAAGTCCAAAAGAGACCGACGTCGGCGTCGGCGGCATCGCACCGAGAGCGACGTCCCGACGCGACGCTCCGGTCAGGGCCGACGGAGAGTGAAAACCCGGCGCCTGCGTCTCCGTCGGCGCCGAAACCGAAAGTGAAAATCGCTCCCCCACCTTCCCCTACCTTTCGCTTTCCGAAGAGCGGCGCTCTCCCCTCTCCACTTTCCCTGGCCGGAGTGCGGCGTGCGTGCGTGTGTATGCCGGCGGTCACAGTAGGCCTCCGAAGCAGTCGCATCGAAGACGTGAACGCATCGTCAAGGTCACGCATTCACACACACACACACACACAAACACATACACGAAGTCACGGTTTTTTCAGAGCCATGGCACCTCGTCGGCACCTAGCGCAAGTTCAAGGCCTGATCGGCGATGAGGTCGGCAGCGGCGTAACCAGGTGTTGCGTACCCACGGGAGAGTGCCTGCGCGCCCAACAGAACATGAACAACAACGATCACATGTTAATATCTTTGGACGATCTCCGGGACACGGTGCGAGTCACTTGTAATAATGAATTATGCACGGCGGGCCGGTACATGCACCGGGAGTGTTTCGATCAGTGGGAACAATCCGTTTTGAGTTATTTGAAAACCTGCGGCAGAGCGCGTTCGTGGTCCGAACGGCAAAGGCACCAGAACCTTTGGACCAAGAAGGGCTACGATTTGGCTTATAAAGCCTGTGCGTGCAAGTGCGGACGTGGACATCTGAAAAAGGACTTGGACTGGATGCCTCCGCCGCCAACTAGTAACATTTTCGGTCGGATCGAAGAGGTCGATACCGGTAAAAAGAAAAAGCGAAAGAATAAAAATAACCGGCCATCGCTTACCATCAGCAGCAGCCAACCCATTGGTAACGAAGTCCGGGCCAGGACCGGCAGTTTGTCCTGTTCCAGTACCGGTTCTTCCAGCCCGCCTACGTCTGGAAGCGAGCCCAGCATTTCACCGATCCATGCCCATTCCAAAAAGAAGAGCAAAGTCGAAATCCACGAACGAATTCGGTGAGTTTCATTTTTTTCTTTAATTTTATCTCCACTCCCAAAATTAATCAATTCGTAAATATTTTAATTTATAAATAAATAATAAGTATTATTATCTCAATTCGTACTGATAACCTGTCAAAAATATTTAAATATAAACAAAACCATATAATAACTTTATAACCACAACATTATTTATTTTCCACAACAATAATAATAATAATCGTGCATTTATTAAAAATATTTTTTATTCGCTGTATTTTATCTTTAACAAAATTATGAATAATATCTATTATGAATTGATTCGCTAAAAATTAATTTTTGTATTATTTTCGTCCTTGCATTTAAATGTCAAGATCATCATAATGACACTTAGAAAAAATAAAAAACAAAACATGGATCAATGTCCTTATGAATAAATTTTATATTTATTTCGAAATATAATTCAAATTTTTTTTATAATTTACCATTCATATGTATTTACTTACTTATTTTCTATAAATTAATAATAAATATTATCTCAAACTGTCAATAATTTTCTTGTTGACTGAGATTTAAATAACATCAAGTTCGATTTCTGATAATATTTTGTAGCTATTTTACTTTTATTTCATAAGGTAATTTATAAGTGTTATTTAATTTATTACTATAGAATGAAAATGCAACAAATTCATATTAATTGCATAATATCAAGGAAAACTATTTTCTCTAAAACGTCACTCTATATTTATTTATACCTATTAATTTTACACAAACATTTTTATGATAAATTTGAAAGCATAACTATGCAAAACTATTTTTTATCTCCTAATTGAACGTATCCTGTACCTACACTTTTCAACTTTTCCTGCATGAAAATGAGATAAACAATTTAACAGCACTGGTAAAATATAACAGTAGTTTTTTTTCTGATTAATTTTTAGAGCACAATTTTTTATTTGTTTAGTTACTATTTCAAAAAAATGTCAACGTAATATTGATCAAACGAACCATTAAACGTATTTCATAAATAAAAAAAGTTAATTCAAAGGGAAACATTCCAGTTGACGTTTTTAAAAGATCCGTTTGGCAAATTTATCTAGATTGCTCAAATAAGAAAGTAAATAACGATCAATTTATTATGCCAGATGTTTCCCGAATTGTTTACGTGGGCGTGAATTAATTGCATCGAACATGTGGGGATCTTAAAAAAGAACTTTTCAAGAACTATACAGGTCCTCTCGAATTTGAACTCGTTTTTAACGCGCATTCTATAAATAACTGGTTTGTTTCTCGCAATGTCGTAATTTCCAATAAATAACGTTATTAAAACGTATTGCGTAAGAAAGGTATTTATTTTATCGACTTTTGGATGCTTCGATTTTGTTTCGATAAGTTATTAAGTTGTCTTAAGGATACTTTGCATTTTTACAACCACTTATCGCTTTTTTTATTTTTATTGTCTATTAATTGCTTATAAATATTTGATCCTTAAGCTGCATTATAAAGATGTAGGAATGTACGATGAATGAGGGTTCTCTTATGCACTACTAGGTATACCTATAATTCGGAAATACTTTGGAAAATGTCTTTATCTAAACACCATCGAAACCGCTCGTACCTTAGGGGGGCGTCGTAAATCCTTTTCGCACCTCGGCGTTTATAACCTCGAAATTTCGAGCGAGCTTCTCGTTCTTGGGTTTCTCTTTCGCTAGGTCAAGGTGGAAAGGCGAAGTGATAAACGGTCCGTATCGATCCTGCGGGATTCCGTTCCTATCGAAAGGAGGCAGTAAAAATTGCGACGGCACTTTCCGTTACAGCCGTTTGCTCGCCCCTTTTTTTCCCTTTCAGGAGCGACCGTCTCCGGGCCGTAACGTTCGGCGCGTTGAGCGAGGCGAAAGAGGACCCTCGTCGGATAAGGCGGGCGGAAAATGGCGAAAATCGAGGGGGTTTTGTCGGGCTAATTCGTTCGGTTTTATTTCAGAAAAATTTCACTGTACTTGGGTCATCATTTTTTATTAATTTACAGCGTAATTATTGAATGTTTTGCTACAACGCAGGTTCCTTTTTCTTTAGTAATTTTTTATAACTCTCACCTCTAAAGGAATATCGTAATAAATTGATGTAAATTTTTTGTATATCTTAACCATTTTTAGCTGGTTTCTGACTGTTATCGATTGCGTTTCGAAACGTTTATTTATTAAATATCGACAAAAAAAATTCTAATTTCCATTGTGAACGACTATACGACTGGACCGTTTCAAAACTAAAATTCTCAGACGTGTTTTGACCGAATTTGGAATGTTGCCACATGTGGATGAAAGCGAACGGTTCTTTTTACGCTCATTTTGCGACATAAAATTGCAGATAAAGAAGCAACGTACTTTATTATCATCGTCTAGAAGACGACTTCCAACGGAGTTTCTCACATTTTTTACTCCATAACATTTACATAATTGGTAGCATTTTTTTTACCACACGGAATACTCGATACTTTCAAAAAATCTTTATACCTAAATTAAATCCCACAATTATCTAATGTATCGAGTTAACAAGACTTCGATCTAATCCAATGATTAAATTCGTAAATCTCCTTCTAACGGCATAATAACGTATTGCTAAGAGCGGCGAGCAGTTAACAATTCTACTTCTGCTAAAGACCTTCAGCAAGGAGGACTAATTACTACCTAATTACTCACGCCAATCTGAGTTTACAATCGATAGTATTGGGCGATTCAAGCGAGCAAACCTCCATTGTTTTATTTCTAATTAATTACCAATTCCTCGTTCCTTCCACTCTCACTTACTCCTCCTAATTTATTACATAAAAGTTTTAATACCGCGTCGGAATATTATTCAAATTCTACTTTAATTTGATCAACTTTTTACGAGCTATTTAAGAACGACTAACCGGAGGGTTTTGCATTGAAAAGTTTATTATTAACGTTTCGGACGATTTCTGAAACTAGAGAATCCCGAACGTAAATCGCGTCGAAACTTCAGCGGATGCCGAACTTTGCGATACACGTCGACGTTGTTAAAGAACGGAACGCCGCCGATGGCGGTTTTAATGCCGCTCGTGAACTACGAGGTACGCAGAGGACTCGTTTTATAGTCCAAGAAATTGCGAACTCGCGGTCGAAAGGCAGTCGGTTTTAGGATCTGGATGGTATTTTATTTGGGCGGATAGACCGTCTCGATTCCACCTTAGCTGCATGGTTAACAGGATAAGGACGAAGCGTAATGAATCACAAACTGTTAATTGCATTTTATTACTGGTTGTTGGACGCTTGCAAAAATTTTATTTACATCAGGATTTTATGTTGAATAATTGCTTAAAACGTTATTGAAGATAGTGGTTTGAATATACTTGCACATTTTTGTGCTGTAGGTATTTTTTTATCGGACCCAACCACCTACGTTCCATTCTTTGAAGAATTCTTGAAAGACTCTAACAAACAATGGTCCATATAATAAAGAGACTGTATGCACAGCCAGGCGTCTGGTAATTACACCAATGTTTAATAACAGGTGATTGTAAGGGGACGAAAATGAATAATGTTATGAAGTGGGTAAAAGCTACTCGTACATGGACAATTATCGTCTTAAAAATATCTTTGTTTTATTTTGAAACCATAATGAAATAAGACATGGAAATTATCATGTCAATACTAGTAAGATATTATTAATTTACGTAGATAAAAAAACCAAGCATATAACCTCTTAACTACGTTTTCTTTCATATATCTCTAAATAGGTTATATTTGCACCTAATTTACCTTACCACCGGTACATTTGGCTACCAGTTTTTTTCATTTACCTTTACATTAGGCGTTAATTTTGTCCATCAATGTCTCATTTCGCTCCACGATGCATTATTAGAAACTAATGTGTGGAACAAAAGTGCATACTTCTCTTAACCGTAGCCGTAAAAAGAGAACAATACTACATTAACATGGTCTGGCGAACATTTGTCGTTTTTTGTTTCTCGTTTATTTTTTCCATCTCTTCTATATACAGGGCGATGACTTTACATTAACAACTTCGTAACATATGGGCTGTAGAACATTTAATTTGTTTTATCACTTCGGGAGGCGAAAAATGAATCGATACTTGTTCGATGTGTATTTTCTGCTCTATTAAATTTAAAAAATAATATGCTCTACATGGAGCGATTATAGAAAATGCACTTCGCTTCATTTGCAGCATTAATGACCTATACATATTAATATGAATATTAATGAATATCAGATACTTTATTAGTTTACTTTTAGTAAATATTTTGTATAATCAACAGAATAATAGGCAACTAAAGTTTATAATCCTTCTCAAAATCAAAAACAGTTATTTTAGATTCATTAATTGTGATTTACCATAAGTACTATTAGTAATGAATGGCTTTCAACGATAATGGCATGTATTAATCGTGTAATCATCATTATTTTATACCTGAAACGTCTGGAAGAATTAGATTTTTTTCTTTATGTAAAGATAAGTACCCAATTAACGCCGTTCTTATGCACTAAAATTCGTATTTTCACTTCGACTCACTCCCACATTGTTTGCACAGCTTTCCTTATCCTTTAATTTAACTTTGCTACATCTCTTAATTATCCTCGGGACTAATTACGTTACAAGACCCTGTGTATTAATTCGATAGTTTCAATTAGAGCCGTAATTCGGAGTCGTTCCTTGAACTTCGATAGCGAAGCGCGAGTGTATTGTATCATTTTCCAATTTCATTTTACAATAATTCGTTGGGATTGATCGCATTTATTAATTAATATAAATCCTCCTTCGGATTAAACCTACAATTTAGCATTGCGAATTTGCATTTGAATTGCCGCGACTTTGCATAATACAACGCGAATAATTATCGGTAATAGTCGAAACAATAAACAAAACAGTCACTGCATATCATTTCAGCGAATTAGAATTCTAATACGCAAAAATGGACGACTTTAACGTGTGTTGTATGGCGCCACAACGTTCGTTAAAAATAATTCTTACCTTGGAGCTAATGTTATTCCATAACAACGACA